CACTGTGATCTCTAAAAATGCGTTCCCTTCAGATTCGACCATTGACAATGTCCTCTAATAAGGCCAACACTGCCATTGCCATAGACTAAGGGTTGTATACATTTGCAAATGCTTTTATATGTTCTAAATAACATACTTGGTAAAAAAAAAAAAAATAGTTAATTAACCCATTTTATAAATTGTAAATGTGTTGTTGCGATACTTCGTAGTGTGTAATTTAACATAATTGCCTCTAGGAGTCACCAGTGGAAATTAAACAAAGATACACAAGAAATACACGTTCGCCAGACATGTAGTTGGCGCGGACGGACTAACATTCTCACGTTAATTGTTCACATTCTGTCGTTAATTGTTCAAATTCTCATGTTAATTCTTCAAGTTAATTGTTAGTAAATCCAATTGACCCTTCGCTAAGCCCCGCCCTCCTTAGTTTCTGTTGCTACGCCTGTCAAGCTTTCATGCCTGACAGCTTTTACAATGTGTATGCGCCGGTGTTAGACATTGCCAGGGATATGATTTTAGCGAACAGGAGGTATATCCGAGAAAGCCAGACAAAAAAGGACTGCAGTATGCATTACAGGGGTATATTCACAATATAATAGGCAACCGATTAGAGAATAATTCTCTTAAAATTGAAGCTAGCTTAGCCTAGCCGCCTCATACGCTGAACATTCAACAGCTTAGCTCATGCTCAGCAGGAGAGGTGACATTTAAAAATAATTTAATAATAACAAATAAAACCGAGATTTCTCTATTTTTAGCCAAAAAGCCTGATAGATTAATGTTGTGAAATGAAATATAGCGTTACTAACTGACAAGGAAACACGCATGGACAGAGCTTTTACATAACGTTAGTTCATTCATAGAAAGAACAGCCAGAAAGGGGAAGCTGATGGATTTGAGTCGAATATTAGCATCATTGACCCATAACAATGTACAGTAAGTTACCTATAACTGTGAGTATGTTTGTGTGCTCTTTATAAATGAATGAAAAACAGCTGCTGGGTGATCGCAAGTGCTCAGTTTGGATCATATCTCGGTTTTGTTCTGTTGATTTGTAATTTCAAATATTCATAACTAGGGATGTAACAATATTGTAAATACCGTCATACCGCAATAGTAATTTTTTTTAATATTACAGTAGGCGCATGACTCAATAAAACTATATTTCTGAGAAAAGTTTGCTTAGACGAATGAAGCGAACGGGAGGTAGCGGGAACTACAATTCCCATCAGCCTAGGCGTGGCCATCATCCTTTGCGGTCTGTTGTCACTACAGATCCAGTAATGCGGAAATGGAGTGTGCTGCTAGTAGCGGGGAAGAAAAAGAGCTGGAAATGATTGAACCTAAAGCGGGTTTTAAATAAGGATGTGTGGTAGCATTGTGATTTCTTTCTAAAAAGATACGAAAGAGGAGAAAAGGTGAAAGACAAAGAAAAAAACAGTATCCAGGCACTGCCAGACTGTGGTGAAATATAAGTCAGGGAATATAATCATGGGGACTGCAGAACACAGCACACTTGTTAGATTGATGCACACATTGACTTGTACCGCAAAGAGACCTCTATCTCACTCATGGTTTGTCCTCTCAAGTGGTGGAAAGACAAAGCACAGCGTTACCCACTGCTGTCAACCTTGGCTAAATCATATCTCTCTGTCCCAGAAACCTCAGTCCCAAATGAGAGGGGTTTTTTCTGTTGCAGGGGACATGCCCAGAGATCCCAGCTTTAACCAGATTATAGTTATATGATAATTTTCCTTAAAAAACCCATCTCTATCTAAGTGAGTGGGTGATTAAATGTTGAATGTGATGAGTTTTCAACTATTTTTTTTATATGGTTTAATAGTTTTTTGTAATTAAAATTGAAAAATTGAAGTTCCTGTTTCGAAACTTACAGATAGATGGCTAATTTGTATGTCATTAATATGTTCAGCGCTAAGGTAAATAAACACTTTTGGCACTTTTTTGAGTCTTTTCATTAGTTTTGTTTCTCCTGTAAATTATTCAATAAATACCATACTGTGCCATTCATGCTGAGGTATTATCGTACCGTGAAATTCTGATACCGTTACATCCCAATTCGTTACTTGAAATAGATGAAAATATGAAGTTCAGTAAAGTTCGCAACAGATTCTCAGATTTGTATTATCTAGTTCAATAACTCATGTCATTATAACCTATTCGCTATTAGTATGACTAAGTTACTAACGTTATGGCGAAGGCTTAAACGGAGCAGTGCTCATAATATCGAGGGAAAAAAAGAAAAAGACCGATGTGGAACATAACCTGCTTTGTATTTTTGCAGGAAACAGTTTAGATCTGTTTAGGGTAAGAGGTGTGAGTTATTGCCGTCTGTCTATTACTGAATGTATCTGGAATATCAAAACAAAATCAACTTAGCTCCGCTCCTTTAGCGCCCGTCACACAGCTTGATTCAGGCTGGCATTTTTCCTCTAGGGTTTTTGGTTTTGACAAGGGAAAAAATTCCACTATCCTGTCCAAACTTTAAGGATGCTGGGTATCAGATTTGCACAATCCATATGCACTCGATCGAAAGCTTAACAGAGCGCAGAGCTACAGTTGCTAAGCCACGGTTGGTGGGTGCCGGTTTTTGGGTGTGGCTTAGCGAAGGGTCAATTGTGAGCTTGAGCTTGATTAATGAGGCCCCAGATTATTACCATAATGATCAAATAATTTTATTCATTTATTCATTTATTCATTTATTCATTTATTCATTTATTCATTTATTCATTTATTCATTTATTTATTTATTTATTATTTATTTATTGCATGCACAAAATCCTAACTGTCTGTTTTTGCATTTTCATTCTTACGCTCTTTCACAATCCAGTCAAAGGTCATCCACAACAAAGCAGCCACTGTTATTTCGCACATAAAAGCTCTGGAAACATGATGCTATGCTTGATTAGCCTAGCGGGATTAAGCGTCTTAGCTGGGTCTTTATCTGAAGGCTCAGAGGTCAGTGTGTTATTTCAGAACTTGTGCTCATCCCTGTTCATCTCAGCTCAAGTTAACATGTTTACTGTTCAGAGTGTGCTTGACATTTGAGATTTAAGAGCTAAACAGGTTTTGGTCTGCGCTCATAGTCGAAACTGCACCAAATACTACTCTGAATTCAGATTCTGCATTGATTTAAAACGTCTCATAAATTCAATTCAAATTCAAAATTTAATTAATCAAACAACCTCGGCATTGACAGCAAATGTGCTTCACTATTTGAGATGTAATTTATTAAAGTATTGCACTGACTTTAAGTTAAATATATTCGTCCAAATGTAGACTGCAGGTTAAAAGTCTGGGGTAAGCAAAATTACCATAAATTTAATCAATTTTAATGAAAAACTAATTCTGTTATTCAGCAAGGATGCATTAAATTGATCAAAAGTGACAGTAAAGACACAAAAAATATTATATAGTCACAAAAATATTCAAATGATCCTTAATAATACATTTCTTTAAAGTTATTTCTGAAGGATCCTGTGACTCCTGTGATCCTGTGTGAGGAATATAGGTAATAATGCTAAATTGTAATTTGTTTTTACTTAATATTTGATCAAATAAATGCATTGCTACTAAACAGACTTTTTAACAGTTTATTAATGTATTATTATTATTATTATTATTATTATTATTATTATTATTATTATTATTATTATTATTATTATCCATTAACTACTACTACTACTTAATAATAATAATAATAATAATAATAATAATTCTTATTATTAATATTATAATTATTTTATTATGATTATTGTTATTCACATAAACATTGTTATAGTTATTTTTAAACAATCATTACATTTTTAATAATAATTATGAAAAACACATACTGATTACTTTATTAAGCTACTATATTAATGAATGCCTACTAAACAGAGATGTTTATTAATTGATAAAATAAAATAAAAAATAATAAAAAATAATATTAATAATAAGAAGAACAATTACTACTACTACTACTACTAATATTTATAATAATTATAATAGTAATAAAAATATGTTTTAATAATAATATTGTTATTTAAATAAATACTGTTAGAATAAAATTATCACTAATAATTACATTATTAATAATACATATTGATTACTTTATTAAGTTAGTAATGTATTAATTATGCCTATATTCTTGCATGACCACTAAACAGAAAAAGATGTTTGCATACAAGGCAAACAATTCAAACAGTAAAAACAGTCAAAAAATAAAATAAATAAAAAGACCACAAAAAATATGAATGATTCAATACAATTGGAAGAAAAAAATTACAAAAATAATCAATCTAAGTTAAAAGCAACGGTAAAAAGGTGAGTCTTAAGAAGTTTCTTAAAACAATCCAGAGAAACAGCATTCCTGATGCTGGGTAGGCCATTCCATAGCTTAGGGGCCCTGTACGAAAAAGCATGACCACCCATAGTCTTCAGTTTACAGCATGGCTGATACAGCAAGATTGCAGATGAGGAACGAAGACTACGGGTGGGAGTGGCCAGAGTAACCAGGTCACAAATGTAGTTAGGTGCTAGCCCATGCTAGTATGTTAAAATCAATCTTAAAATCAATCAGTCTTAAAATCAATACGTAATTTAACAGGAAGCCAGTGAAGTTGCTAAAGTACATTAATAATAATAATAATAATAATAATAATAATAATAATAATAATAATAATAATAATAATAATAATAATTTTATTATTATTATTATTATTATTGTTGTTGTTGTTATTTATATAGATAATGTTATAATTAAATCATCACTAATAATTCCATTATAAATAATATGTATCTATTTTTCATTACATTATAAATGCACATTTCACATAAATTACAAAGAAATTATGATGGATATTCAGTAATATATGACAAAATGAACAGATCATGTGAAGAAAAAATAATGATGAAAATATTTGCCGCTTTCTTTGATGATAATGCCTCATGATTTTGTTTTATGATAATGCATCATGATTTGACACCATGCAGCTTACTTCTTCTGATGGTCGCTGACTCGATTCCTCAAGACGGTGATCTACGAGACACAAAACCGCACCAATGAATCAATGTGTGTGAATCACTGCTGTATTACTCTGTTTCCTTCTCATGTCAATCAGGCTGTGTGTGTGTGTGTTTGTTTGTGTGCCTGTGTGTGCGTGTGTGTGTGTGTGTGTGTGTGCGCGCACATGGGAACCGGCCCGTGTGATTGTTCTGCCAGCTCTGATCTGGGTGTGTCTGCATGTGTGTGTGTAATTGATAGTTGTATGACATCTCATAAAAGTCCTCTCCTTGTGTTGTGCCTCTGTACTGCACCGTCCTGTTCTGCTGAGGCCATTAATCTGCATTTTATGGATTTGGAAAGCTCACCTCGTATTTCTGGCTCATGTATTTGTAGTGCATCTCAAACTTCTCGGCCTCCAGCTGCCGCATCTTCTTCCAGAGCTCATTTGCCGTTTCTCTGTATTAAAGGGACAGTTCACACCAATATTAAAATCTACTTCGCTATTAACTCACCTTCAAGTTATAAACTACACTCAAACAAATATACAGTCAAAGTCAGAATTATTAGCCTCCCTTTGATTTTTTTTCTTTTTTAAATATTTGCCAAATGATGTTTAACGGAGCAAGGAAATTTTCACAGTATGTCTGATAATGTCTTTTCTTCTGTAGAAAGTTTTATTTGTTTTATTTCGGCTAAAATAAAAACAGTTTTTAATAATAATAATAAAAAAACATTTCAAGGTCAATATTATTAGCCCCTTTAAGCTATATTTCTTTTGATAGTCTCCAGAACAAACCATCGTTATACAATGACTTGCCTAACTATCCTAACCTGCCTAACCTAATTACCCTAGTTAAGCCTTTAAATGTCACTTTAAGCTGTAGAGAAGTGTCTTGAAAAATATCTAGTCAAATATTATTTACTGTCATTATGGCAACGATAAAAGAAATCACTTATTATGAGTTATTAAAACTATTATGTTTAGAAATGTGTCAAAAAATGGGGGGAAATAAACAGGGGGGGGGGGGTAATAATTCTTACTTCAGCTGTATGTTTTGCTGTTTGTTCAAATTACTTATTTAAAATGAGCTGAAACAACACAATTGTTGAAATTTGTTTGGGACGACTTAATTGTTTTGTGTTCAGTCCACTTAGATTTTATTAAATTTTAAGTTAACCTAATTGATTTGTGTTGGGACAACATGATTGAATTGTGTGAAACTCTGCGTTTTTTCATTGTGCATGATACTGGAATAATATGTGATGAGTTGATGAGTATTTTGATAACGATATGTCTTGCAATGTAATATTTCCCTAGAAAAATGCTAATTTTATTAGCTAAGTTTTTAAATAATTCATTTATGTAGTAATATTATGTCAAACTGTAAAACATGTTTTTCAGATCTAATTCATTTTAATTCAGACTAAAAAACTGTCAAGGTGCAAACATATAGGGCTCTATGTTAATGATCTAGACACAAAGTCTAAAGCATTGAGGGCGTGTCTGAATCCACTTTTGCTATTAAATGGAAAAATACTCCCTGCACCAGTGCATGGTTTAACAGGGTTGTGCTTATTCTTGTAATGTGTTCTGGGTGTGTTTTTAAGCATAATGTGCATTAAACCAATCAGAGTCTCATCTCTCATTTCCTTTAAGAGTCAGTTGTGTCGTGCCATGGCACATTTGCTTTTTACATGGCGGACTTTGTTAGTGGAAAAATTAAACGCTTCACTAGTGAAACAGAGCATCTGCAGCGCAAGGATAAAGAACAAGCCTCCTTCATTCTGCCTATTTACTTTCTCTTTACTTTGATTTTACTCTTTAGTCCTTAAAACTAATATAAATATGCATATAATAAATAATACTGCTAATAATAATAACATTATACTAATGCAAATTGTCATTTTTTAACTGAAAAAAGCCCCCTAAGGTGAAGAAGGTGTGGAGGCAGGGGTTTTTATATTTATGTAGAAAATAATATTTTTTGTAACATTTTAATCCTCAAATTGTAATATGCAAATATATTTTTGTGTTGCTGCACATCCTTTGTGTCTTAAGCAATGTGTAAGCGTTTGGACCTGTATAGGAGAATAACTAATGCACTCTGCACTGGACTTTAGACTAGCTTTTTGTCGTTTAGTGTGTGGTACATTTCAGTTCGTCAAAATAGCAAAGGGCCAACAATGCGTCTGAACACATCTTCTCAGACGGCACACTCATGATTCCACAAAGTAGCGCAAATGGATGCTATTTAAACAGCGTGGTCCAAAACGGGAAAATTACTGATGGAAAACCATCATTTTCTATCATTTTAAAAGCCTTTTTTGGCCATTAAAGCTTGGCTATTTAAAAAGTAAAACATTTGAATTTTGTAGCTTTGGTGTTGCTGGCTTTTTGTATGAACGTTTTGCACTTCAAATATAAATAAGCAACCAATTCATAAAATAAATGTTATTTGTCACACTCGTCTGCGATACGTATATTGCATACTATTATCGCGATAATAATTTTATGATAAATTGTGCAGCCCTATTATAAACCCTCATGAGTTTCTTTCATTTGTTGAACACTAAAGAAGATATTTTGAAGAAAGCTAAAAACCTGTAACTACTGACTTCCATAGTAGGAAGAACTACAGAAGTCAATGGTTAAGTTTTTTTTTTCATTCATTCATTTAGTGAAGTTTATTTATAAACTAATTTTGAGAGGATCATGTGCTTATGATTTACACGTCTGGCCATGAGTCTAATGTACGAACCACAAATCAGACGATTCCTAACCAAGAATAAATAACCAAGCATCTTATCTTCGTCTTGAAGAATCCCCCCTTCCACCCCCTCTCCTTCTCTTTTCTCTACAGGGCAGCACTGAGGCCCAGTGGCTAGCGCTGTTGCCTCGAAGCACGAATGCCTCCAGCTTGGGCCTCTACCCAGCCGGACAACATTTACGTGTGGAAATTCATGTTCTCCCCATGCTTGCATGGGTTTTTGCCTGGGTCCTCCGGTTTCCTCCCATAGTCCAAAACTCATGAGACTTAAGTGAATTGATTAAACCAACTCAGCACCATATTCAGTTCCACCAGCAACACACCACCTTAGCAATCCTTAAGCAGCAGGAGAGGGGGGGTTCTCGAGATCTACCTAAGTTCAAACACCCCTCTCGCCCTGCAACGGGAGGGAGCCCCGGGCTTGAGGATCTCATGAGCTCAGGGCTCTCTCCCGGGACAGCATGCCAAACTAGCTTAATACCAATCATCAGCTAATTGTGAACTCTTGACTTGTACATACACTACGACCAATTTAGCTTATTCATGTGTTATGTGTTTGAACTGTGGGGGAAACCGGAGCATCATGAGGAAACCCACGCCAACACAGGGAAAACATGCAAACTCCACACAGAAATGACAACTGACCTAGCTGGGATTTGAATCAGCGATCTTCTTGCTGTGAGGCAGTAGTGCTACCCACTGCGCCACCGTGCTGTCCTGGTTACAGGTTTTCAGCATTCTTCAAAATATCTTCTTTTGTGTTAAGCAGAAGAAATAAACTCAGACATGTTTTGCACAAGTGAAAAGGACATTAAATGATGACAGAATTTCCCTTTTAATGTGAAATATGCCTTTAAAACCCGATTAACCAGTCTGTGAGTGTGAGGCAACAGCAATGTTCAAGCTATGTCTCAGGTGTGTTTTGATAACTCTTTCACCTCAGCTTGTCCGCGCCGATGTTCTCGATGTTCAACTCCTTGCGGCGTTCGCTCAGGATTGTTTTTTTCTTCTCTCTCTCAGTTTGTTTCTTGGGCCCGCCCCTTTTTTCTGTCTGTCAATCAAAAGCAAAACAATAAACAATAAGCGAGGTCTGCTGGCGACCTTTTGACCTCTGACCTGTGAGCTGTCTTACCCTCTGCATGTATCCGGTGTATTGGAAGCTTGTGAGAACCTTCTTCTTCTTTGCATCATCGTCCGCCTTCCTCTTGGCCTCCTCTTCCTCTTTTCGAGCCTTTTCCTCCTGAAAAATGGAAAATAATAAAGAAAAAAATATGTTCCTAACAATGAGTGATACATTTTACAACCAGGAAGGAAAGTATTATTATAAATTATAAAAATAGATATTTTTTATTATACATGATTATATATATATATATATATATATATATATATATATATATATATATAAGATGCAAAAACCTCTAAATGCTTTCTAAAATTTTCTTCTAAAATTTTCATCAGGCTCCTGTGGGTGGGTTCAGTAATTTTAATTTTACAGCAGAGGATAAGTATTTTTCATGGTCTTTAAAGTAAAATAACAATAAAATGTTAATTTTCAATTTTCAGACGGCACAGAGGTTTTTGAATCTGAACTCTTCATATATATATATATATATATATATATATATATATATATATATATATATATATATATATATATATATATATATATATATACAGTTGAAGTTTAGCCCTCCTGAATTATTACACCCCTGTTTATTTTTTCTCTAATTTTTGTTTAACGGAAAGAAAATTTTTTCAACACTTTTCTAAACATAATAGTTTTAATAACTCATTTATAATAATTAATTTATTTTATGTTTGCCATGATGACAATAAATAATATTAGACTGGATATTTTTCAAGACACTTCTATACAGCTTAAAGTGACATTTAAAGGCTTAACTAGGTTAATTAGGTTAACTAGGCAGGTTAGGGTAATTAGGCAAGTTATTGTATGCCGATGGGTTATTCTGTAGACTATCAGGAAAAAAAATTAGCTTAAAGGGGCTAATAATTTTGTCCTTAAAATGTTGTTTAAAAATGTATATCTGCTTTTATTCTAGCCGAAATAAAACAAAAAAGACTTTCTCCAGAAGAAAAAAAAATTGTCAGACATACTGTGAAAATGTCCTTGCTCTGTTAAACATCATTTGGGAAATATTTGAAAAAGAAAAAAAAAAATTAAAGGGGGGCTAATAATTCTGACTTCATACTAAGCCAAATCTGAAGCTAATCTAACAAAATTACTTACGATAACGGTCCAAAAACTAGTACAGCCAAATTTATGTTAAAGAAAAATATTAAAAACAAATAAAAAAGAGAAAAAAATCAAGAGAAGAAAAAAATTTAAATAAATATTTAAATAATTTTTGTAGGTTGCAATTTAAAAAGTTTTTCGCAATATTTTGCTTGAATTTTGATGTATTTTCTTTCAATTTCTAAATATGTTTGGTGACTAAAGTATTATTTTGATAAATATATCTGCTTAATAAATCTGTTTTGTTTAAATGCACCAAAATGCATTGCCTATACTCACTGAGAAATGGATAAAATATTCATTTTCAAAATGGGGTGTGCTTATTTATGTGTATATATATATATATATATATATATATATATATATATATATATATATATGAGAGTTTAGATTATAAAACCTCTAAATGCTGTCTGAAATTTTCCTCTAAAATAAGCATTTTAATTTATTAATAATATCACTTTTATGGCAAGGAATTAGTCATTTTTCTTTTCATTAAAGTAAAATATCTCAACATAAACAAAGGAAGCTGAGAAAAATGTTGATTTTCGATGACATATATATATATATACACACACACACACGCACGCACGCATGCACGCACACATATGAAGAGTTCTTAGCTCAAAAACTATCTTTGCCCTTATTTTGTTTGGCATTATCATAATGTGCACATTAAAATTAATTACACAGGTTAATCACTAGAAGTACTTTATTTCTCCCTGTTTTTCTATGTTATGTATTTTGTAACGTATTTCTCATGAGTGACTCACAGCCAGTTTGTTCTGCCGCTCTCGGTCTCTCTCTGTGCGGATGCGCTGCTGTTCTGCTCGCTCTGACCTGCGGTTTTCCTGATCAACACAACAGACAACAGATGCAGACCATCAGTTCAAATCATAAGAGCATTATCGAATTCAGCATGAGTCAATTATTGACTTACACTCAGTTTGATGCACTTATGCTTTCAGTCAAAACCCACATGAACAAATTCTGTAATAATTTATAGTCAATAATAGTTCAATTCAATTCAGCTTTATTTGTATAGCGCTTTTACAATGTAGATTGTGTCAAAGCAGCTTCACATAAATGGTCATAGTAACTGGAACAGTGTGGTTCAGGTTTTAGTGTTTAAGTTCAGTTCAGTTCAGTTTAGCTCAGTTCAGTGTGATTTAATCATTACTGAGAGTTCAAACACTGAAGAGCCAATTCATCGATGCGTAGCTCTACCAATCCTGAACCATGCGAGGCAGTGGCGACAGCGGAGAGGGAAAAAAAACTTCACCTGATAATAGTGTTTTTAGACTGTATATTTTATAACACTCAAAAAAAAGATTTTTGCTGCTAGTTTAAACTACTTACAGGTATTTAAACAGCACATTGAACAACTCAATTATTAAGCTTTTTGGGGACGACTGAATTGTTTAATGTTCATTTAAGCTACAGTTTCAGCATCATTACTTTTTATTGTCTAGTGATGCTTCAGCATTCATTATAATATGATTTTTATTTTTTGATTAATTACAGGTAGCATGTCTCTAAAACTAGCCCTGCTGGAATGAGCGTTAAGTTTCCATACTGGTTGCAGCTGGTTTAACTGGTGGACCAGTACAGTCCTGATGTTTACCAACAAATTTGGCCATCTAGCATGTTTATCTTCACAACAACGGCATTTCAACAAGAATTAATTTACTTATTATAAATTTAGGCGAGATGCTGCAGACAAATGCATGAAAAACAATGTCATGCACCTGTTCTGAAACTTTAGGCTTTTTTCAAAGTGTTTGCTCTTATTGAATACACTTTAAAGTGTTTGTTTTGATGCATTTGATTAATTAAGATAAGGTAACTGTAATTAATAATTATCTATTTATTGTTGTGATCATAGATGTTTTTATATTTTTCATAAAGCTAAAAAAATATTGCAATTAAGAAGATTGTTTTTAAATTAAATGTGTGATTTAATTGTTTCAAACAGCACTACTGAAGAATATTTGGGGGAACAGGCATTGATTTTTATGGTATTTTTATGGTAATATCTAGAAGGGATACAACTTGTGGAGGGGATACAGCTATTGAGTGCTTGTGTCTGAGACTGCATGTCTGAGATTACACATGCAAGTCTGCAGCCAGATTCTGTTGGAGTGTGAGTGTGACAGAGGGAGCCTCACAATGCGCTGTGTGAGGTTGATCAGCTCCTCTTCCTCTTTCTTCCTTTTCTCAAAATGAGCCTCAATGAGAGTCTGCAGCTCCGTCAGGTCTTTCTCCATACGCTTGCGGTGAATATCCTGAGGATACGCTTTTATGAGTAATTAAGTAATGCTGGTAATGTGCAGCACTGTAAAAACTACTCAAAGCATATGTTTTATGGCGGTGCAGGCCGTATAACATGGATAGTTTAGTAACTGGAGGTGTGGAGTGATTTATGGCCATGACAGTAAACATGTTAGAATTGCGAAAGCATTTGTAGCTTATAGTTGATGACAAGGAGGAAACATGCAAAGCATACAGTAACAGCAGTAGAAAGTAAATTACAAAGTAAATGAAGTGTAAGTATACTATTAAATATGATACATAAAATTATATTAAATTAATCTATCCCCAATATTATGTAAATAATATAAAAATAATATAAAATGCTCAAATACATTTCTTTCTTTAAGTCCAGCTATTAAATTAAATCAAATTAAATCATAATTTAATTTAATTTAATTTAATTTAATTTAATTTAATTTAATAAATTAAATTTAATAAATTAAATTAAATTAAATTAAATTAAATTAAATTAAATTAAATTAAATTAATTTAAATTAAATTAAATTAAATTAAATTAAATTAAATTAAATTAAATTAAATTAAATTAAATTAAATTAAATTAAATTAAATTAAATTAAATCCAACATATGTTTTACGCAGCAGATGCTCTTCCAGCTGCAACTCATCCCTGGGAAACATCCACACACACTCACTCACACTTATGCACTACAGAAAATTTAGCTTGTACCGCATGTCTTTGCACTGTGTGGAAACTGGAGCATCGGGAGGAAACGCACGCGAACGCAGGGAGAACATGCAAACTGTGAGGTATATTTTATTTTTTAATTTAATTTAATTTAATTTAATTTAATTTAATTTAATTTAATTTAATTTAATTTAATTTAATTTAATTTAATTTAATTTAATTTTATTTTATTTAATTTTATTTAATTGAATGTAATCTAATTTTAGTTTATTATTTTATTTATTTAATTTAATTTTATTTTATTCTGTTTTATTTAGTTTTTATAATTTTTTATTTGATTAAATATTACATAATTTATTTTTATTTTAATTTTATAAAAAAATTATTCAATTTAATGAATGAACAAACAAACAAACAAACAAACAAACACAAAATGATGCAATAAACTCACATCAAAATCAACTTTCTCTCCATCAGGAATTTTGGGAGGCACATGAGGTGGCAAAAAGGTTCTTATAACCAACAACAATGCATTAGTTCGTAATTCATTGTAATGGTCTTATATGGATTTGTCATTTGATATTAATAAATTTCACTCACTTGTGCTTTGGTTTTGTTTCTTCTTTCAGTTCATTTGGCGTCAGGGGAAAAAAAAATTTCACAATTGATTTCACAATCACTCAGATACAATCAGATGTCAGGTGTTGCTGTTTCTTTAAATGGGGTCAAAGGTCATCAATGTTTAACCAGTTTTTATCAATAGGTCTGATAGAGATCATGTCTACCTTCCTCTCCTGGTTCTTCCACAGCGTCTGAATCACAAAACAACAAAGATGATGAAAATGAAGAAAGAAAGACTGGTCTGGTATCAGAAACAACAATCTCAACTAAAAGGTATTTGGTCTTTGCTTCAGGAAAATCCGGGTTTTGTTCAGGTTAAGGTGTTTGATGAATGTTGTCCATAAGTAAGACAGTAGTTTGACTTCATCCCAAGTGTGTCTCGTCTGGTATAATGATTGATAATTATTGGGTGTTGTTTGTTATATTATTCTTCTGTTTTTTCTTTTGTGGACTGGGTGTTTGTTTCCCAGCGGCTTCTACAAGCCCTTCTAAACGGCAGGATTTGCAAAAAAACAAATGATGATTGTTTTAAAGTCGGTCTTTTGAATCACCAGACATGATTTGGGAACATTACGAAGAATTATTCACTCTATAATTACAGCACTGAGAACGATTGACTTTGAAGGATTTGAAACTTAATTTATTAATGAATTTAAAGTGGGAAGACTGAAAGAGTATTTGTTTTAAAGCATATTCATGTAATGTGTACTTTATTTACAGCTTCAATAAATATGTTTTATAACTTATAAACAGTATAGGTAAGGTGAGAGTATAAGTAACTGTAAATGATTATTTATAGGGATGTCCAAATCAGATCACGTGATTGGAAATCAGCCCAATCACGTTGTTTCAGACTCAATCGGACATTACCTCCCAATCAGGACTCAAATATATATGTATATTATGTATGTTCTCATTATTTTTAAACACATCTATAGTTATGCGGTAGCACAGAGTTAGACCTCTTTCTTGACTTCACACATAAGTAGCAACATGTGCGGCATGACATCACTTTGCTGCAGAGACGCTATTAGTTAAATGCCGACAAAGTAGAACACGGAAGCAGCTTGAAGCGGAAAGAGCAAGTATGTCTGTGGTCTGGAGGTATTATAAAATTGATGACCACAACATTGCCAAAGCAAACTGTGAGATATGTAAACGTGGTATTTCCTGTTGGGTGTTTTAATTTGAGGTGCTTTTGTTTTTATATTATATTTTTTTATATATTTTAGGTTCAAAAGTGAAGAATTGATGTTATTTATTATTTGATTGTTCAAAGTACCTCACAAAAGTGCTTTGTTAACTGAGTTGTTGAATGGTAAAATAAGACGAATTAAATAAAAAATAAGGAGCATCCTTGATCTGTTTCTGCACTCTTCTTTACTATTTTGTTGATGGTTTATAGAAGTTTCGGATCGGGTATTGGTAGATACTTAAAATCAAATGACTTGAGGGCAAAAAACCCTGATCGGGACATCCCTATTCAGGGTTCAACGCTAAGGATTTTTTGTACTGGTCCGATCGGGCAAGTGGTTTAGATTTTTACTTGCCCTGCCAAAATTTTCACTGGCCCCACCCAAAAAAAGGGAAGTTAACCACATATTTTAAATAATGTGTCAAAAATAAAGTCTGTAAGTCTAGAATTTCAATACTTAAAAAACAATTGTAAATCTAAGTGTTATGCAAACAAAAAGAGTAGTATGGAAAATGCGGAGGCATTTTATTGCAGTTTGAAATTATTTAACAAAAGGTGGCTGACTTGTCAAACTGACGCCAAACATTGCATAACATCACTTCATTTTTATTTTGTCGTGTTGTTTCCACGTAAATGTCTACTTCCAACACGTTAGAGACAGACATTTTCGTTTAGCCTTTTAATTTGGTGTTGCCGCCTTGTTACTGTTTCTACGCTGTACTGGTTGTTACCAGGTTACAAAAAAAAAAAAAAATAGCATGGTCAAATCAATCAGATAAGACGAATCAGAAAGCAATATGTTGTTTACGACATTATAGAGTAGGTCGCATTTAAAGATTTAAAAGCACAAACAAAAAAATGTACGCAATTGACAAATAGTCACTGACAAATTAAATGTTAGTGACAAGGCAGCACTGTCCCAATCGGGCCAGTAATGATCCGGTCTACTGTCCCAAGTGTCTCTCACGCTGGCCCTGGGCCACCGGGCAGTCCTTATTGTTGAGCCCTGCTATTTATTAATATTTATTATTGTAATAATATATTGTATTTATATACCACGTTCATATTCTAAATCAAATCGTAAATATTATAAAAAATAATAAAGAAATAACTATGTTTTTCCTTGGTATAACTTCGACTATTAAGCATTATTTTGGATTTCACTAATGAGGCCATAAATGAATGCATATATTTAGTGATTAAGTCAAAATATATTAAGTATATAAATAAATATATTCAATTATTCATTCATTTATTCTCCTTCGGCTTAGTCCCTCAGGGGTCGCCACAGCGGAATGAACCGCCAACTTATTCAGCATATGTTTTACACAGCTGATGCAATTCCAGCTGCAACCCAGTACTTTGAAACATCCTTACACACTCATTCACACACGTACACTACGGCCTATTAAATTGATCTAATTCATCTATAGCGCATGTGTTTGGACTGTGGGGGAAGCAACCAGATAAACCCACGCCAACACAAGGAAAACATACAAACTCCCGCGGAAATGCCAACTGACACAGCCGAGGCGTGAACCAGCGAACATTCTTGCTGTGAGGTGACAGAGCTAACCACTGGGCAACCGTATCGCCATAATAAAATGATTATAGATATGTTAAACTATGTGAAGAAACAATGATTTCAGCTTATTTAACTTCATAATGTCCTGATTAATTGAATTTATTAATCTATTTTAGTTGCTATTTTGGACATTTCTAAATTGTTTATGCACCATATTTGTTAATGCAAAAAAAAAAGCAGTTTGTTTTTCATTTGGGACACTTATATTTATTTTATGGCTTGTATTTATTCATTATGGCAAAAGTAATTGATTATTAGTTTAGCTTTAGCCAAAGCATCAGCACAAAAGCAGCAGCTCTACCTTCCTCCTCCTCCTCCTCCTCCTGAAGCTCATCTGGTGAAGCAGAAGCAGAAGCATGAGGAGAAACTGCATGCAAACACTCAAACACACATCACCAACACACTCATGCAAACGCACACATTTTCACGCACATGTAAACACACCAAATACACTTTAAAATGTTGCTGTTGTTTTTTAAATTATTAATTTTTACTTGATTAATTAGTATACTTATGCACTTTATTAATTAGCTTCTAAAGATTTGACTTATTCTGACAGGTGCAAATTTAATATTCATCAAAGGCGATAACACCAAAGCGCAAATGAAAATAAATTAAATTAAAAAGGCTGACACAAAGCGTGTTACATTTCTGTTCTCATTTTTACCAATTGTGCCAATATTAGTGGAGTTTCTTCATATCAATCAACTGGCAAAGAGTAGTGATTATTGGTTCATTTGTTTTTCTGTATTAACCTGTGGTGTCTTGCCTTAAACGCACATTAAGCGGCTTTAGGAGGATTAGATTCAGGATTAATGTCACTCAGAGATATTACATAATGTATTTGGGAAAAAGTGATACTCCACCCGCAGATTAGTCACACGCCAAGGGAGACCAAGTGATATATAGTATTTGTGAATGCTAAAGTTGTATATAAACAGAATAAATATATTAATTCATTCATTTTCCTTCAACTTAGTCCCTTTATTCATCAGGGGTCACCACTGCAGAATGAACCGCCAACTGATCCTGCATATGTTTTACACAGCGACTGCCTCTCCAGCTGCTTCCTAGTACTGGAAACACCCATACACACTCATTCACACTCATACACACTCATACACTATGGTCAATTTAGTTTATCCAATTCACCTATAGCGCATGTGTTTGGACTGTGGGGGAAACCAGAGCACCTGAAAAAAAAAGTCAAGCAAACAGAATAAATATATAAATATAAAAAATATGTAATACGAATGTTTTAAAATGTGCTATGTAATGTGAATAAATATGGTTATTATATTCATAAATGTATTTATAATATATTTTTTTTATTTTATTTAATGATTAAATAAATGACCATTACAAAAAACATGTTATTGACATTTTATACTTGTCTATAATAATGAATTTTTCTAAATGATATTTTATTTAGGTAACACATTTTTAAGATGCTTCTAATTTTATTTACAGTTATAATCCACTGTAGAAAACCCATTTTAAGGTGGAGATTAGTGTTTTTTAAAATGGCAAAAGGATATCTAATAAGAATGGTCTCACTTAAAAAAACTAAAAAAAAAAACAAGACAAAAATAAATAAACAAACAAATCAAAAACCAAAAAAGATGTTCTGTTTTTGGAAGGTGCAGCTCACCTTTTATAAAACTTCCAAGCCCCTATTTGTGTTGAAAATAAATCCGCTTTCCACTGATGTTTGTTTTGTTAGGATAAGACAATATTTACCTGAGATCCAATCTGGAAAATCTGGAATCTGAGGGTTTAAAACAATCTAAATATTAAGGAAATCCCTTTTAAAGGGGTCCTATCAATCCCTTTTTACAAGATGTGAAATAAGTCTCTAATGTCCCAAGAGTGTGTAATGTATGTGAACTTAAAATGCCGTTTTGGTGACTGTAGCTTTAAATTCAAATGAGATTGTGCTTTTTAAGAAAAGGGTGGAGCTACAAATGTCTGTGTGTCAGCATAGTGGCAGATTCAAAAACAAGACTATAGGGTATATGCCTAGCTAGTGCTGTTCCCATGCTGATACACTTCCGGTGACCTGTTATTGTGAACTTTTTCTCATTTTATACGGTTCCTTATACAGCATCAATGTTGTAATGTCATTAAAAAACATTCAGTTAAATAAACTTTAGCATTTATTTAGTTGCTCAAGCGTAAAACAAGGTAAAAAGCTGTTTACTCGCACGCGCCCGTCAGAATCGGCAGGCTAACGCAGAAGCTCCATTGAATAAACTGGGGTTAAATAAATGCTCATATATTAAAGATATGGCGGGGGAAATGTAATTTAATGCAGTGCTTCTTGTACAATCTGAGACCCACTTTAAATCGGATATCACTCAGCTAGTGGAGATCGCTGATTTTTAAAGAAAACAGACCTTAAACGCACTGGA